TTTGTGGCTACTAAGCTACCTTTTCTTATCCCTCCTCAAATTATTCTACTCAACAGGCCATCCTGACAGCTTGGCATCAACTTATACTATCCCCCATACTCTAGTGAATCACAAACAACAAACATCTCAATTCAGACCTCAATCTAAATCCTCGGATTAAATCAAGCATATTGATACTATCAAGTATACAAGGTGAGTCTTCACTGAAACCCTTTGACCCCCTACTCCCATAGTACAACCTTCCCTAGACTGAATTCTGTAAGTACATATGATTCCACCATTACCTCCAAAAACATCCTATGCAAATATGTACTATTGAGATTTTAAGGTTTATGCTTTCTAAGTTCTGAATCTGGAATCAAGGGCTTTTCACTTCTCTAAAATATCATAGATTATAAAGCCCACTATTCCAAAACACGCACTGTATTAAAATGGATGTTTGAACTAGAGAAACATTCACCCCACTGAAAATACCTAAAAAAAAAATTTCAATACTCCTATTAGGCCTCCCAGTAGTCAAATCACTAGTAACCCCCGAAGGATTATACACCAATGGTATATTACACCATTCAACATTTCTCAATTTTCTCCTACTAATACTCTACCATGTTGGAGACTGACTACAGGCTCAATCTCCACAACCAAATCTTTATGGTGATTTCAGAAATGACTGAGACAACAGTACCCCCATCAAATAAATTATGCTTGATTCATATCAAAATTAATGATTTAATTCCTGATGCCAAAACCTACATAGTCCATGCATAGTCCATGTATTATATGCTAAAAAACTTAACATATTTAAAAGATGCATTAACCCTACCCCTCCAAACATATATCTTGCTCTTGGAGACCTAACTATGCATTATCCCATAGTGAAAATATTTGCACTGAAAAAAAAAATACCTTAGATTTCAGCCTAACGGGTCCGGATGTTTTAATAGTGTTTGATTATATTACATTGCATGGATTTTTATTCTGCTACTTGTTTACAAGTTTATCACCTTGTTACTTTTTGCTCTAAGAAGCTAGCTACCAACCATAAACAATGGACTACTTTTTTTAGCAATACATTTTTATTAGGTTATTTATGAAAAAAAAATACAAGAAAATCAATAAGTAGTAATGAATAATTGTCAAATATCCAAACCTGTACACTTTACAGTATAAACAGTATAATAACGAACAGTAACAAATATCCTTCACCTCAAGCAATTTCAAATATACATTTAAAGTATCATTACTCAAATAGTACTTGTTACCCCACCGGGATCAGACTGTAACAGGTCAAATGTACAGTATATAATTTGCTAGGTAAATCAACAAATTAGAAAGAGAAGAACTTGGAAGCTAAACATAAGTTTTGTCTCAATGGCAGAGATATAGTACAGAATTTTAGGAATGTATCAGAAATTGTTCTCTTGATTATTTAAAGGCAAGGCATGCGTGTCAGAGTTTCGTAATTTGTTAATATTATCATTTTTGTAAGCAAACATTAACTAATTAATTGCCCTTAAGCGCTCAGTCTTCCGATAATGTTAGAGTAGGAGTAAGTTAGGAGTAAGAGTAAATTTTCAATGACTTGTCAAGGTAAGTCTTGCTGCAATGAGAGTATGTGCCACTGATAGTATTATATAGTTAGTCTGGCTGAAAAAAAGACAAAAGTACATCCAGTTCAACCATAGAAAAAAAAGTTATAATCCTACACCCACAGTTGATCCAGAGGAAGGCAAAAAAAAAACCACAGCAAAGCATGATCCAATTTGCTCCTGCTGGGAAGAAAATGCCTTCCTGATCCCTCAAGAGGCAATCGGATATTCCCTGGATAAACTTTACCTATAAATGTTAGTATCCAGTTATATTCTGTGTATCTAAGAAAAACAATCCAGGCCTTTTTTTAACCACTTGCCATCCGCCTGCTGTTTATAAACGGCAGGACAGTGGCACTCCAGTGGCGGGTTGCCGTTCATAAATGGAACCCGCCATTTCTAGCTGTGCGCGTGCCCGCTGTGTCCTTAGGACACAGTATAACACAGATCGTAGGACGGGACCTCTGTACGAGGTCTCGATCATGTGATCACTGATAGGCCAATCAGTGATCACATGCAAAGTAGTAAGCAAGATGTCACTTGTGACATCATTGCTTACTACGTGTGAAATCTGTGAATGATCATTGAGGTCACATGGTACAAGGCTATTCACGACAGCCTTGTACCATGTGACAAGCTGTGACCAATCACAGCTCACTCAGTATTTCTCAATGGCTCCAAGAATGCAGACAGAGAGAAAGAGAAATGATTGCTTTTACATCCTATATGGGTGTAAAAGCAATCACTGTAAAAAAAAAAGAAAAAAAATCTTCATCACCCCCCACAAGTAGTACAGTGTCACCATGGTGACACTGTACTGCTGGGGTGACAGTATGTAAAAAAAAACAAAACAAAAAAAACAAATAATATAAAAAAATAAAATAAAAATGTAAAAAAAATGTTTGAAAATGATAATTTTTGGTTATAAACTAATTTGGCTTATTTTTTTTTTTTACTAAAAAGATAACAGAATACATTTCAGCCAAGATTTATGATGAAAGATTATTTATTTGCAAAATTTTATAAGAAAAACACTTTTTTTAAAATTTTTTGGATGTTTTCATTTACATAGCAAAAAAAATAAAAATCCCAGCGGTGAATAAATACCACCAAAAAAAATTGTCATTTAAAGTGTGATAGCGCTGAAAGCTGAAAATTGGCCTGGACAGGAAGGGGGTAAAAGTGTCCGGACAGGAAGTGGTTAAGCAATCCACTGAGCTGGCCAGAATCAACTCTTGAGGGAGTCTATTCCACATTTTCACAGCTCTCACTGTGAAGAAACCTTTCCGTGTTTGGAGATTAAATTTCTTTTCCTTCAGATGTAAAGAGTGCCCCCTTGTCCTCTGTGATGACCTCAGGGTGAATAACTCTACACCGAGTTTACTATATGAACCACTGATGTATTTATACATGTTGATCATATCCCCCCTTAATCTCCTCTTCTCAAGAGAGAATAAATTCAGTTCCTTAATCTTTCCTCATAGCTGATCTCCTCCATGGCTCTTATCAGTTTAGTTGCCTTTCTCTGTACTTTCTCCAGTTCCCCAATGTTCTTTTTGTGAATTGGTGCCCACAACTGAACTGCATATTCCAGATGAGGTGTTACTAATGATTTGTACCGGGGTAATATGATATCTCTCTCTATGGAGTCTATACCTCTTTTAATACAAGAGAGGATTTTGCTCGCTTTAGAAACTGCAGCTTGGCATTGCATGCCATTATTAAGCTTGTGATCTACCAGAACTCCCAGATCCTTCTCCACCATTGATTCCCCCAGTTGTACCCCCTTAGTATGTATGATGCATGCATATTCTTAGCCCCCAAGTGCATAACCTTACTTTTATCAACATTAAACCTCATTTGCCACATAGTTGCCCAATTAAACGTGCATTGAGGTCAGCTTGTAAATTGGAGATATCCTGTAAGGACGTTATTCCACTGCACAGCTTGGTGTCATCTGCAGACTGAAGTGGGATTTTTAATCCCAGACCCTATATCGTTTATAAATATATTAAAAAGTAAGGGTCCCAACACTGAACCCTGGGGTACACCACTGATGACCCTAGACCATTCAGAGTATGAATCATTAACCACTACTCTCTGAATACGATCTTTTAGCCAGTTTTCTATCCATTTACATATGGATTTTTCCAAGCCTGAAGACTTTACCTTACACATTAGCTGTGTGTGGTGAACTGTGTCAAACGCTTTTGCAAAATCCAAGTATACCACGTCCACCTCCACCCCTCTGTCCAAGGTTTTGCTCACCCCCTCATAAAAAGTATTTTGTTTTGAATAAGGTAGATATCTATATTTAAACCTAATATTGTCATAGTGGGTGTGAGATGAAGTCAAATATCAGTAAGAGATGTTAAAAATGTGGAAACTTAGTTCCAGGAGCTATGTAAAGTTTTGCAACTTCACATAATGTGAAATACGTTACTGATTTGTTCACCACATCTTCACCAAGTAGGTGAAGCTGATGGATACATCTTGGAAAGCCTATATGGTAATAAATACCATCTATTCAGCAATTGTTTGTGATTTAGCCCAATGTTCAACACAGGCTGAAGCTCTATTAATAATAATTATAGATTTTTGCCATTGTACCATGTAAACCAATGTGATAATTCAGTTTCCCATTTTTGCACAGCTAAAGTTTTGATATTATTGTGAAATTCAGTATAAACATTATTAACAAAAAGGATATACAAAGTTTCTTAGATCATACAATAACCGTGCATAGGTATTTCTTTCCTTCCCACTAAAATATTCCTACTTCTTCTAACTTGATACCACTGTTTTTCTTCATCTTTGAGGGTGCTAACTGTAATCTTCACCTTCTGTTCGACTGTTAAGTATGATTTGGTATGTGTACTGCGCATGTGGGAGTGTCATAATTTAAATGTTTGTGCTGCACACTTACATTTACTGTAAACATTAATACAAGGTGCACCCTAGGCATTATGGGTTTTCTAAAGTAACAACACAACAGATTATGTTTTCTTCCAGGCACTCTGTATCTGCCTGAAATCCTATATTAACCACTAGCCTACAGGGCACTTTTACCCCCTACCTGCCCAGGCCAATTTTCAGCTTTCAGCGCTGTCACACTTTGAATAACAATTGCGTGGTCATGCAACACTGTACCCGTATTAAGTTTTTATCATTTTTTTGAGACAGATATAGCTTTCTTTTGGTGGTATTTAATCACCTCTGGGTTTTTTATTTTTTGCTAAACAAACCAAAAACCACTGAAAATTTTGAAAAAAAAAGTTTTTCTTAGTTTTTATTATACAATTTTGTAAATAAATTATTTTTCTCCTTCACTGATGTGTGCTAATAAGGCTGCACTGATGAACACTGATAGGTGGCACTGATGGGCACTGATGAGGAGGCACTGGTAGGTGGCACTGATGGGCATTGACAGGCATCACTGATGGGCACTGAAAGGCAGCACTTATATATGGCACTGATAGGCAGCACTGATAGGTGGCACTGATAGGCGGCACAGGCTGGCACTGATAGGCAGTACTGACTTGCACTGTACGGTGGCACTGACTGGCACTGTTAGGTGGCACTGATAGGCAGCACTGATGGGCACTGATAGGCAGCACTGACTAGCACTGATAGGCAGCACTAACTGGCACTGATAGGCGGCACTCACTGGCACTGATGGGCGGCACTGATTGGCAGTACTGATATGTGGCACTGACTGGCATTGATAGGTGGCACTGACTGGCACTGATAGGTGACACTGAAAGGCAGCTCAGATGGGCACTGATATGTGGCATTGATGTGCACTGGTAGGCACTGATATGTGGCATTGATGAGGCACAGATGGGCACTGGCAGGCGGCATTGATGGGCACTGACAGTTGGCACTGATGGACACTGACAGGTGGCACTGCTGGGGCTACACTGAACATCAGGGCACACTGATTATCAGTGTCCTGATGATCAGTGTAGATGTCCCCTCTGAGGAATGCTGATTACAGGCTTTCCTCTCCTATCGAGCTGTCAGCGTGACATCTTGTGAAGAAAAAAATGCCGATAACCGGCATTTCCCTATTTACATGCGATCAGCTGTAATTGGACACAGCTGATCACATGACCGAGCTGACATCTTTGGCTCTTTCCGTTGATCGGTGATCCGCTGTTTCCAAGAGACACAGCGCACCACCAATTGCCGTGCTGCGCGCACCTGGAGCTGCGCATGTGCTGTTAGAATAGGAGTACGTCATATGACGTCCTCCCAGAACGAGAGAACCGCCTTGCGCCCGTCATTACCTTATATGGCGGGTGGGAGGTGGCTACTAAACCCACAACAGTACAATCAGACTGTATATGCAGTAAAGCATGCTAGTTATACTCACTGTGGAACCTAAGGGGTTAATCCTCTGCATTGTGTAACAAGTTTGTTTGATCCTTTCTTCTTTGCCCCTCCTCTTGTTGAAATGAGCACCTGATGCAGACTGAATCCATGGTCACATGCACATGCTCAGTTTGATGTGTATTGCTAGAAAGGTTTTTTTTTCCTCTCTTGGGAGGGTGCATGTGATCAGCACAGGGCCAATCAGAGGTTTCACATCCTCCTAGAGCAGAAAGAAAACTCCTACAAGCTTTAACCAGTGCTCGGATGAAGTCACAAGACTGCTCTAACTATTGATGAGAAAAGGTATTTAGCAGTTTATATTTACTAAAATAATTGCATTTTCATGTTGTGTGTACTGTGGGAGACCAGATATAATTAATGCAAAGTCCTGGGTTTAGTAACTCTTTAAGTGGTCTGAATGGAGGAGGATATATCCATATACAGTATATGTGTAAATTTCAGCTTGAGGTTTTGAGCTCGATGAACAACAAGACTTTTCCAGCAAAGCAGAAAAGGATAGATAGGTAAATATGTGAAAAGGAGTCAAGAAATTCACCTGGGGCTAAACATAAAATAAAAGAAATTAAAAGAAATTAAAAAGTATATAGAACATGATACTGAATTCCGTTTTTGAAAGGAAACAAACTATACAAGTTGTGCCCAAAAAAGGCAATCAGATGACCAAGAAATAGTTAAAGTGGTTGTAAAGGCTCAAGGTTTTTTTTTACCTTCATGCCATTGAAGGTATCACTGCTGTCAATCACAGCCAGTGAGCCAAAGCCCCTGTAGCAGTAGTAGTAGTTACAGTGCTGAACTCCACAGGTATAAGCCAGTTACACCAGACTGCAACAGCCCAAAGGTAACATAGCTAAGCAAAGACTCTTTGGAACACTGGCCAGTGTTCCCTTTTTTCAGACCCACACTGACTATCAAACCCCAGGGATCGTATTTGGAGAGTAGTGGTTAATGATTCATACTCTGAATAGTCTAGGGTTGTCAGTGGTGTACCCCAAGGTTCAGTGTTGGGATCCTTACTTTTTATTATATTTATAAACAATATAGGGTCTTGGATTATAAATACCATTTCAGTCTTTGCAGATGACACCAAGCTGTGCAGTGGAATAATGTCCTTACAGGATGTCTTCAACTTACAAGCTGACCTCAATGCACTGTTTAATTGGGCAACTATGTGGCAAATGAGGTTTTCTGTTGATAAATGTAAGGTTATGCACTTGGGGGCTAAGAATATGCATGCATCATACATACTAGGGGGGGTACAACTGGGGGAATCAATGGTGGAGAAGGATCTGGAGGTTCTGGTAGAACATAAGCTTAATAATGGCATGCAACGCCAAGCCGCAGTTTCTAAAGGGAGCAAAATCCTCTCTTGTAATAAAAAAGGTACAGAGATGAGAAAAGAAGGCGCTTCTAAGTGCAGTAACTCCAAAATGGCTTTAATAAGAACGGTTAAAACCACTTACAAGATGGAAGAAATAACAGGCTCTTAATAAGAAGAGGAGATTAAGGGGGATATGATCAACATGTATAAATATATCAGTGGTTCATATAGTGAACTCAGTGTAGAACTATTCACCCTGAGGTCATCACAGAGGACAAGGGGGCACTCTTTATGTCTGGAGGAAAAGAGATTTAATCTCCAAATATGGAAAGGTTTCTTCATAGTGAGAGCTGTGAAAATGTGGAATAGACTCCCTCAAGAGTTGGTTCTGGCCAGCTCAGTGGATTGCTTCAAAAAAGGTCTGGATTCTTTCTTGGATACACAGAATATAACTGGTTACTATTTATAGGTAAAGTTTATCCAAGGAATATCCGATTGCCTCTCGGGATCAGGAAGGAATTTTTTCCCCTGCAGGAGCAAATTGGATCATGCTTTGCTGGGTTTTTTGCCTTCCTCTAGATCAACTGTGGGTGAAGGATTATGACTTTTTCTTTTTTTTTTTTAATGATTGAACTGGATAGACTTTTTGTCTTTTTTCAGCCAGACAAACTATGTAACTATGTAGCAGGCACAAAGTGTCCCAAATTCCTCAATGTCCAAACTCACAAGGCCCAAGAATAGAGTGGATGCCTGCATCCAATCTTCCAAGCGAAACCCTCCAGTGATACCAGACAGAGCCTTGGCAGACAACTCCCCTCAAACAGCTTCCAGTAAAACCAGGGTCACTCTCTCTAACTTCAGGCCCTTAGGTCTTCTCACCTGAGGCCGCATGGCAACAAGTGCCAGGCGAGGCAACCTGCCTCCACCTTGGCTGGTGCAATCCACACCCGGGAAAGACACTGCACCCATGTGCTCCCAGAATATAAATACCACTCCTAGCATGCAATGGGACTGCCATCCCCTGCAATTAGCCAGGGCTGCATCCACATTCATAATGTTCCTTTGCCTAGCCCCTACCCATGTTCTGGAAGGCTCTCATTGCTTCCTGAAGGTGGGCAGAACTCAGACAAACTCCAACAGCGCCAGAGCAACACGAACAAACCTAACTTACCGATCACAGCACTCTGTTAAGCAGAATACCAAAATGAATTTACTTAAAAGCCTCTCTGGTAAGCAGAGAAACACAGCTATGCTCAACCTAACTATACACATCCTACCACCTACCTAGGTTGGTGCTACATACATGTAACATTAGGGGTTATGAATAGTCTTGCAATAGGGTTTCTTTAAGTAGTTAACTTTTTGTATTTCTCATCTGAGTAGCTGAGAAGAAAAAAACACTGCTTTATACAAGGTGTAGGGGCCTGTAATCTGCATTATCAGGTTAGATATTGCTTAACTCTAGAGAGATCATGTAAAGGACATCTGTTAGATCACAAAGCAAACATATCAATGAATAGTCACGTCTCAAGAGGCTCTGTCAATTACAGATAAGTACATAAAGTCCCTAAAGTTTTAAAATCATCAGGGACTGTCATTACTACTCTGCAATTATATGGGCAGTTTAAAACTGTCACCATCTTAAATAATGTAATTAAAGGACATCATTATGTCACATTGCAAATGCTGCGATACCTGATTTTACCAGCTGAGGGCACTAAATAACAGGCATTTTATACATTGAAAGCCATAATGTATATTTCTCACTATGTGCTGAAAGTAACTTAATACTTTATAGTCTGCCGAGTCTACTAAGTGGAGAGGTTCTTATGGACCTCATGAAACACCAATCTGACATTACTATAAGTCACTGGACCCGCTGCCATGTAAATGCCTGCCAGCCTTCAGACAGGCAACAATTTTGACACACAAAAACTGCATTCAGTATCCAGACACATTTCTAAGTTATTTTAAAGCTTTGTTTCTCTGGGAATGTATCAGCACAAGCTCTGTAGAATTAAGACTACTGTACTCATCTTTACAAATCTTATTTTGTGTTTTTAAACAACACAAAAGCATCATACTACCAAAATGTAATATATGTTTTATATATGATCTTAAATAAATTAAGCTGTAGAGAGATAAAAAAGATGAACAACACATAAAGTGCCAGTCTATTATTATTATCTTATGAAGTCATCAGCCAATCAGCATGAGATGTTCTAAAGCAATAAAAGTAAGTCATGGAACAGTAAAACTGATTTACTGCTTGTATGAGAGAGAACGCCATGGAGGCTTCTGCTGTTAAACATTAGGAAATAAACAAAGAAAGCGTATATTCCTTTAGATGTCCTTCTGTCAACAGGCAGCACGAAAAAATAAATTCTGAGACTTGCAAGGCATGACACCTTTGTCTTTCAATATTCAGTGTTAAACTTAATTGACTTTAAAGCAAACTAGTGTCTAGAGTAGACCATAGAATCATTCATCCCTGCTCTAGTCGTAATGATTGTATATAAACTGCATTCAAAATCTTGTATTTTGTATTGTTTAATCTGGTAATCTGTCACAGTGCTGTGTACACCTTCATTTTGGATTCTTCTGCCAAAGCCAGGGGTGTGTAGCCCCAACTCTCCCTAGATATTGTACCTGTACCTTTATGCACACTTGCAAAACAAAGTGGGCAGCACAGTGGATAAGTGCTTACCAGTTGCATCTAGCAGTACTAGTGTCATTGGTTCAGATCCCAACCCAGGCACCACCTGCCAGGAGTTTACATGTTCTCCCTGTGCCTGTGTGTACTTCCTCCGGGTACTCCAGTTTCCTCCCACACTCCAAAGACATGCTGGTTGGTTATTTGGCTCCTGTCTAAATTGTCCCTAGTATGTGTATGTATGAATGTGAGTTAAGGACCTTAGATTGTATGCTCTTTGGTGGCAAGTACTGATGTAAATGTACAATATATATACAGTGAAGGAAATAAGTATTTGATCCCCTGCTGATTTTGAAAGTTTGCCCACTCACAAAGTAATGATCAGTCTAAAAATCGAATGGTAGGTATATTGTAACACTGAGAGACAAAATAGCAACAAAAAATTCAAAGAAATGCATGTCTAACAAATGATACACTAATTTGCATGTTCATGAGGGAAATAAGTATTTGATCCCCTATCTTTCACAAAACATGACTTAGTACTTGGTGGCAAATCCCTTGTTGGCAATCACAGAGGTCAGACGTTTCCTGTAGTCAGCCACCAGGTTTGCACACATCTCAGGAGGGATTTTGGCCCACTCCTCTTGGCAGATCCTCTCCAAGCAGGGGCGGACTGACAACTCATGGGGCCCCGGGCAATAGGGGATCATGGGGCCCCTGGTCCTTGCCCAAACTCAAAAAAGCCTATGAAAAAGGTACCAGGGGCATCTCATGGGCCCCCCTACTGAC